CAGGAGAGCAAACTCTCGTTAGAACCGGCATCTCATTGACTTCTTCAGATGACGATCGGCCAGAAGTTCCGTTCGAGGACGATTTTAGCTCCAAAACGGCTGCACGCTTCGGCGATCTCTCTGTGCCACTGGTCTCTGCGAAATGAAAAAAAGAACCATGGAGCCAGGTATATACATCCTTTGTTTGAGTTGACTGACTGCGTGCAATCTCCTGACGTGGACGATGGTGCGTCATCATTAGGTGTCATCGTGTGTGTCATTGCTCCAGTATGCGGATTGCAAAACTTTACATATTGCTTAGTGTGACAGCACTTTTTTTAATAATCAATGTCGATATCGTTGCACAATCTCTATATTTTCACATGAGCAAACAAGCCGAATCTGTATGCTTTCCGTATATATGTATCTATTTATAAATTATCCACTATCAGATCCTTTTATCGAATAAAACATTATTTATACCTGAATTTTAAAAACCATTGCGACAGAGCATTTTAATCAAAAGAATAATGTTATAAATTATTGTAACTTAGAGAGGTACACTGTTTTCTATGCATAAATTATTAATATATTATAAAATGTTTTTGATTACATGTTTACATGTTTTTGATATATGGAAGATATCTGAAAAAATTTCAAAATCTTCAAAAAATTTTCTCAACAAATTTTTGATACAATTTTATATTATAGATTGCATTTTTTATATAAAAACATTTTTCTTAAATTTATCCAATTATATTATTTTAAATTATAATACAATGAATAATACGGTGTAATCTCAATTTTACTTTTTATTTATTTCAAGTTTCTTCTTTTTTCATCTTGTCTTTTCTTATGTTTTGAATCATACATTTTTACAATATATGTATACGTAGTCAATAAATGTCAAATTATCAATATAAAACTCATCAGTGATCTGAGATTGCAGCTGAGTCATACAATTAATGATTAAGAAAATCCAATACTTATGAAATATCTTGACCTCATTCTTTAAAAAAAATGGAATTCTTTATTAAAAAATGCTCACATCTACTAACTAAAAAATTTTAAATAGTAACATTAATAAAAATAGTAGAAAAAATTAGTGATTAAAAAATAATCTGTATTCTTGATTTTCGAATGCAACTATCGATTTAAAAAAAATAGACCTTGAATTACAAATAGGAAAACTTGTTTTAATATAAAAGTCCAACCAATTTCAATATATTTCTGTATAATAAACGTTATCAATGTTAATTATAATATGACTTGCAATTATCAAATTAAAAAAAAAAAGGAAACCTAAACGTAATCTTTAATTATAAAAAAATATGTATTATAATATAAAAATCTTACTAATTTCGATAAATTTCTGTATAATAATTAATGTTACATTTGTCAATGCTAATTACAAAATTGTGCACAGATAGACTTTAATGGATTATCTATTATTAATTCAAAATAATCAATATTTAAATTTAAATAATAATAAAGAAAGCAATAATTTTCTTATTACATTAACGATGTCTTTATACAAATTGTGTAAGAAACATTAGGCTTTTACTGCCTAAATTATTTTTCGCGAATTCAAAATGTCACATATAGTATTATAAATAAAATTAATAAATTTGTACTTTCACACAAAAAGCTAGAAAATTTAAGAACGAATTATTAACTTTAAAGTCGTAACGATTAATAAATAAAAAAAAACGAAATCAATAAAATCCAATTTGTCCACTTTAAAAGATTTATATTTTGTAAACAAACATACTTCTCATTCTTCACACATTATTTTGATTTACAAAAGTCAAACAATCACTAATTCAAACGTCACATAATAAATTCGTCTGCCTAAATTCTATTCACGGTGTGTGTCACAGAAACTTTTTTATTAACAAACTTTTTTATTAACAGCACATTATAACTCAAATAAACTATTACAACTCAAATAGACTATTTAGATTATGAAAATAAAAGGATATTAGACAAATCGTTCGCTTAATGAAAATCCAGGTTTCAACAGCGTCAGCTGCAAATCTAATTTTACGAGTGAAAATCCACGGTGAAGATCTATGAGCGACGCCTGTCATTGTCAACGTGTCGTGTCACTTACCCGGCGACAGCGATCTCTTGACGGACGACGATCTCGCGGCACGATGGCTCGTCGTTGACTGTGCCGTGCTGTCGCGGCCGACCGCCGATATCTTGGCGCTCATCCTCGCCACGAGGCCACCGGGCCGCACGGCTGTTCCGGTGATCCTGACTCACGTACCAGGAAGCTCAGTCCGGAGGACGACGTAGGAGCATGCCGGCTCGTCGAGTCACGGAATGACGGGTCGTCGCTTCTCAGGTTCCCGTGATTGTTCACGCTGACCTGTATGAAAACATCCGTCGAACAACTTAACAACGTTAGAACGAAAGTGACGTGGGACGCGATGGTAGCCTGTCTTCACCAAAAAAGTTTCTTCGATTAAAAAAAATCTAGTTCGAATGACAAAAAATTTTTGTATTGTTATACGGTGAAAGAAAAGTTTCTTTAATCTTATTTGAACGTCATTTCTTGAAAAATCAAGTAAATTTTTATCTCCCTCAAGGATCCTATTTTCATTTCAATTTACAAACATCAAGGAAAGAAATAATTTTTTCAATTTAAACATAACTTTTCTCTGGATGCTGTCTATAGTAGAAATTTAATACTACAGTACTGGCCAATTTAATCACTTATTTTTGGCATTAAAAGTATCGTTAGCAATATTTTTTCAATAATCAAAATAACAGTACTGTTAGTATTTTCAGTGTCCAAAATAAGAATAGATAATTAAAAATTGGTTAGTATTAAATTTCTATAAAAGATATCGGTAATAAAATGACAAATGAAAAAAAATTAAAAAATATTCATTCGATAAATGAAATTACCGAAAATTAATTATGTGTACTTGGAATTAAACAATTACAAAAATGATCAAATTCACTGAAATATTTATAAATAATATTAAAGAAACCTAAATTTTTTAAACCGTGAATTACATGTGAACACACACAAAAAAAAATTAGAATATTTATAATTTTATTGATCAACACCTAGTAAATTTTGTTCACTCTTGTAATTTTTATCTCATTCCCAGATATATACACAATCGATTTCCAGATCCGAGATACACGTTGTTTTCTCGTTATGCGCGGTCAACGGACTGCGCACTTATAATATAATCATATTCCAAGAAATTTAACCCTTCAACTCCTTCAAGTATGACTACAATGAGGGGCCGGAAACCTTCAAGGATCAAGAATAAACAAATACAAAAGCTTATCCCTACTCCTTCATTCCTAAGCAGCCATTCCTCTTCGTGACCTTTTGCGTCTCGTTTGAGTTATCGAAAAAAAAAATCGCGAATGAAAAGGAGAGATGAAAGAGAAGAACATTGACTCCAACGGAGGAGCCTTGAGGAAGACGGAACAGGAACTCAAGGGGAATCAAGGCGATCCAGAATTTCTCGTTCGTCCATTCTGACGATTCGATCTGAGATACCCTGGCAAAAATAAAATTTGAAGCATACATACGAATGTAGCGGAAGTGACAGAAGCTTCTGAGGCGAAAATTGAGACAAGGAAACGTAAAAGAGATGTTTATGCTTCTTTTATATTTCTTTGTCTCAATTTTCGCCTCTTAGAAGCTTCGTTTACACTTCTGTCACTCTCTCCTTACATTCCACGTTCCACTCATTTTAAATGATGACTCTTTGAAAGAAGAACACGATCGGTTTTTAAACGTTCAGCACGCACCTTGACTGTGATTCCGGCGCTCAATATACCTTGCTAGAAGGGATTATCGACGCTGCAGAGAGAGAGAAAGAGAGAGTGAGGAGTTACGAGCATAGTTCCCTCTACACCTGCGCGACATGGTATGTACGTGTATATTTAAATAGCGTTCTCAGCCTCGGGGCGAAAACGCAAGGCTGCGGCAAGGTCTCGCGGCGCCATTACCGGTGCATACAACCGAGAGAAAGCCACTCGAGGCTCTCTCTCTCTCTTTTCTCTCCCTCCCTATCTCTTTCTCTCTCTCTCTCTTTTGCGCGCGCGCGGGTAAAATAATTTTATCTTCGTATCGAGAGATAAGCGTGTACACTCCATTGAGTATCTCGTCGAAATATAAGGGCGCGCCAGAGAGAAGCGATGATTCATTCTAGTAGAGGACCGCGCGTTTAGGAAAACCAAGATTCGAAAAGCGACGTCGAGTTTTCCTCCCTCGTTCCTTCCGGCTTATCGATTTCGGTGTTCTCGCGATGTATTCGATTTACTTGGGCTCTGTTCAAATTTCCGAGTCGTCCAGGTATCACTTTTGTTATTCATGTTAAACTCTTATAAAATTTAATATTATAATACTGGCCTGTTAATCACTTATTTTCAGTATTAAAAGTATTGTTAATAATATTAATAATTGTTAATATAAATTAAAAAACTGGCCAATACTATCTATTAAATTTCTATAAGGGTTTCTATAAGGATTATAAAGGATAACATACAACGATCTGAAGAACAACGAGAATTTAAATTATTGCGTTCGGCGACTGGATTGAAATCGAATAAGATTCAATTCAAGTGAAAAAAGATAATTTTTTTTAAAATATGTCCTCAAACTTTACGTTAGTATAGTCGATTTTTCTATTTAAAACTGTCTTCAGTACAGTCTTAAGATATCATGATAAATCTTAAATTACTTAAAACAGTCTTGAAATAAAAACAGACTACTATAAGCACACAGTATTCCTGGAATGTTATATGAATATTATTTATCCTTTTTAATATTCATGTAACACATTCTAAGAATATATTTGTCTTACAAGACACGAATACCGGCTTTAGAGTGACTCTCACGCTCTTAAAGATTAAAATTAAGTTACTCTTTTTCAAAACTGACTCAATTTTTATTCTTTAGAGTGGGATTCCACTCCAAAGAATTTAGGAGTATCAAATTAATTTCATTTTGCTGAATCCTTCAAGCGTCTTTTACGCATCACATATCATAGAGCGTTCGAACCCTCTTTCAGCGCATGTTCGCAGAAAAACGGAAAGAAACGTCTCACGCACATCTCACGACGTTCCACGCTCCTCGACGAGTCCTCGACGGCGTTCACATCCTCGACTCGTCCCTGTGGATCGACTTCGTGAAACTGTCGCACAATGCACTCGAGTCGGACGTCGCGACGCGGACGTCGACGTGCATGGCCCCGTCGACGCCGTCACCGAGGACACGACTGTGCCGGAAATGTCGCCCGCAACGCGGCCCTCCTCGTATGTACGCGGTGTCCTAGGTAACCCGCCGCCGGAGTCCGCGTGAACAACGTGCGCGCGCGCGCGGATCACGTGTACCGAAGAGAGTATTGGATCGATTCCTTCACCTGCCTCGATACAGAGTTTCTCAATAATCTGCGTGTCTTAATATACCTGCAGTCTTATTCGTGTGTACGAAGCAATTAAATCTGTAAAAAAAAAATCATCTATAAAAACATCTATAAAAGAAAAGTGGAATGTAGTGAAAAGCTTCTGCTTGCTGCATATTCTGTCTCCAAAAAGCTAATTTTCATACGATAATAAACGGAACAAATTAATAAAATTATAAATTGATTATATGTATGCTGTGTGGTTTAAATTTTATTTAAGTTTCTAAAAAAATGGAATTGATAAATTGAGTTTCTGAGAAATTTATGCCTCGTTTTTTTTTTTTTCTATATTGTTAATCTATGTATTATGAATTTATATACTTTTCTCTCACCTTTATTGTTCTGGAGACATTCTAATTTTTGTATCTATACATACACGAGTTCGCCTTCAACTTAAGTGCCCTACATTTCCTGTACTTCAAACAATACAATTTAGAACGCTACAAAAAAAAAAAAGAAGAAAAACCGTGCAAGTTCTTTTAGAATTTTCTCGAAATGTATTATTCCATGATATTGCACGTTAAAATTCGGTTAACGCGCGACAGCAATAAATGCTCGATATGGGTACCACTGGTGGACAATCCAATCTGCTTCCGTATTTAGCAAAGCACGTTTATTTCATGGCATTACTTCACCCCTCGCGAATATACTCATCGTATTTAGATTATATCGATTGCCGTTGCGCGTCATAGCTTGACCTACTTGTAACGTTGGACGTTCTTATATATTATATATACACACACACATACACACACATATATATATATATATATATATAACACAGTGAGGCACTTAACCCTTAGTTCTATGACGAAAAAAGGTCATCACGTACCATGTTATTTGGTCGTTGTACTGATTCCAAGCTGATTGAAAAAGATATTAACTGTTATGTCAATTACGTATTCCTGTACAATCATGTAATAAAATAAAAAATATGTACTTTTATTAGTGATGGATGAATAAAATAAATAAAGAATAGAAACTACTGATATAATAATTAATCGGGCATTTTTATATAAAATTCAGTTTATTGAAGTAGAATTTAAAATCAATTTTAAGAATTGTATGCACTTTTCAGTTTTATTTTCTTCTATTTTTTATTCTTATAATGAAGGAAATATAAGAATATTTGATCTCGTAACAGAGAAGAAAATAAAACGAAAGATATAAAATTAAAAATATACTTTTTTCTCTGCAATAAAATTGATAATCATGCATTAAAGATTTCCTTGAACATTGCTAAATTGTAACTTTGTTATAAATCTAAAAACTTATTCTGAATATTTAAAACAAAATTCAAAGTTTTCAATACCAATATAATCCTTCCATTAAAAGAATACTCTTCTTTCATAAACAACTAAATTAAAAGTAAAATAATATTAATGATCTATAAATCGTAATTTCGTATTAAGTACTTTAAATATGTCTAATATATAATCTAATAATACACGAATAAAATCTATTCGATTAAACGCAACAGAATAATTGTTAATGATTACTTAATCAAATAAAACCAATGTCAAAAGGGGCTACTACAAAATTATAGTTAAAACATGTAGGTTGACATCTGGCAACTTACTCTCAGTGAAAATTTATATTCAACACGAATCTATTTGCTTAATACGAAACGCGCTTTTTTCCAAATTAATCATGGAAAATTGAATATTGTTAATCATGGAAGTCAGAAAATTTGTGGGATTATTTTTTCAACGTGGAAATACGACGTTAAATTTTTGCATTTCAGCGCCATATAATATATAAAGAATATATAAAGAAAATACTAATTAATAAAATATTAATCAATACAAACAATAAAACCTGAACGTAGATAATGCAATAAAGGCAGACCAATTTATAACTGTATCACATTTAAGGAGCTGCGTGATTCTATGCCTTTGCAGATCTTGTTATGTCGCGACAACGTAAAATATATTCGCATACGTAGAAACAGTTTGATCAGGAAGATGACTGGGAAGTCCGGACAGGGTGGTTTATAATCGACTTGCTGCGCGAGCTGCAGCATCTGTACTCCGAGATTCTCCTCGATAGAAAGTTTCTCGAAATTGTGCATGAACGTGTCTTCGAGGCTGGAAACGTAGAGATGAAAAGAGCTTGATGCGTCTTTGCTGGACGAGCTGTTCTCTTTGGTAGCATAAGCAATGCATACGTTGCAATTAACATGCGTCTGCAGACACTCGTTGAGCAGAAACTCGCACACGCGTTTAAATGCGCTTTTCTCGGGCAGCCGCAAATCAATATCACGATAATTCGTCGCCGAGATATTCAAAACTACTTGAGTAGCTGGCGGGACTTCGTTAGCTAAAGAGGATACCGACGGGGTTGAGGCTGTCTCTATTCGCTTGAGTATCTTCCGTCCGTTCACAGTAGAATCGCCCCTGCTTGAATGCTCAAGGAAGTGTTTGCTGACAAGATTCTTGAATGCGTAAGTAAACAAGATAGGCGTGGGTCTAACGCGATTTCCACTTTGTCGTCTAATAGAACGAAAAATGCTCTCGATGCTCCCTAGATTCAATTTTCTCGTATAAAGAGAAGGGAGCTGGTGCTGTTTCAACACGTTCCACAGTTGAATAATCGCGTTGATCGTAATCTGCCAACGATCGAAGCATTTGATCGACTTGACGCACGTGCCATTTCTGTTCACTATCTTAATCGACTTTAAAAAGTCAAGTGATTGCTGTAAGAAACTCATTTCGTGCATACTACCCGAAAAAGTTTGCTCAAAATTTTTAGCATTTGATTTGGTCGATGCAGAAGAGTTGAGGATATCGAGTAGCTGATTAAAACTGCGTATGAACTCCATCGTACCGATCGTTTCTAGGGGTAATTCACCGGATGCAATTTGCGCGCTTAGACCTGCAGCTATGCTATTACTGAATATTTCAACGGCATACTTAGTTTCCGTTTTTTGACATCCGTTAGGCTCTAAATGATTCAAAGATAATTCAGGGGCCAATGGCAATCGCATCTGACTGTCGCGCCTGAAAAAGAGCTCGATATCCGTCCAAGAAGCCCTTTTCTCGCAAAAGCGGAAATCATGAGTTCTGAACACGTTTCTGGTCGTTCTTATTAGTCGTGCAACATCAAAAACGTAAAACACTTTTTCGTCGTTCACCAGGAATGATGGGTGATCCGCAGAAATCCCTAGTAGTCGTGATAGTCGCAGAAACGGTGGTGATGTATTGGTAATTAAAACATGCACGGTCGCATTGATACTCTTTAATCTAGTTATTACTTGGAATATCAGATTCTTCAAGATATCGGTGCGACACTTGTTCCCATGGAAGTAATAGGCGATGGGTTGTTCCCAGTCGCCAACTAAACTACACGCCATTATTACCAAAACCTTTCTTGCCAACGTACGCCGCTTCTCTATACCGATATCATGAAAACCAACGATTCTGTCGCGCGTCAGATTATAGAAGAGATGTGGCCTTAGTTGCATCTCATTCACAGACAGGCAGCAATGTCTCTCTGCCGATGGCAGAGATTTGATCTTCAAACGCAATGCATTAAGTACGTTATCATTCAAGCCAGGAGGTATGTCCCAACTGCGGATGTGTCCCCACAACTGACGCGTTGTAGGTAGCAAACATAACGGCCGGTAAAATCTGTATGCGCCCAATGCCATGAAGAATAACTCGAGCGCGAATTGTTTGTCCTTAAAGCTCTTTTTAGTCTTAGGTTTCTCGCAAGCGTTGATGCACGCTGAGACTAACATGGCGGAATTACGCGGTAGTAAGTCTACACACGCAGTTTTAAATTGATCCATGTTCAGGCAACTATCTTCATTTTCCGCGTCGAACGTTTTCTTTCGCTTTATAACCAAACCGTCGGCATCAGATTTTTCCATAGGTCTCTTCCCTCGAACTAAAGAAATCCAAGATTCTGGTGTCTGTGTCGAAATATTCCAATGTTTTCTTTTTGATGTCCTGTAACATTTGACAAAATTTATCTTTAATTATTTTATCGGTTCTTTTTATTTTAGTGTAATAATCTAACATTAATCGCTCAAATAAATTTTCACAAAATTTTAGCATCTTTAGTAATAATATCAATCCTTGATAGTGATGTTTACTTGTCACCATTTTGTTGAGTTGTATGAACTGATACTGTTTTTGATGACGTTGTACATATCGATACCATTTTCGACGACGTTGTACAAATCGATACTGTTTTTGATGGTGTTGTACAAACCGATACTGTTTTCGACGTTGTTGGCACTGGATAGTCCGTAGACGTTAAATCTATAATATCTCTATTTAAAAAAGAAAAACCTTTTTGTATTCAACGATTATAAATGACGCTATACAAGTTGTGATTGTAAAATCGTAACTTACGTATTACTGCATTCGTCTTTTGGAAATATTCGTGACAACATTGGTGCTGATTCTACATTCGTATCTGATTCTTTGATAAATTGTATTTCCGCGGAAGTATCCCTATTAACAAAATGCATTTTTAGTATTTTTATTTTTTTCGTTATTTTATTTTTTTATTTATAGATACGTTATTAAGCGATTTCTAACATTGTAGACAGAAGGCTTTATAGTTTAGATTAGATACACACAAATACCTTTTTCTATCTTTCGGAAATCGAAAGAAATATCGGCTCATTATTTTTATATTCAACATACAACCTGGTGCCGAACACCAACGAGTGTTAGTTCCAGTTCCATCCATACATATGGATATACGTTATTTAATTTAGTTATTTTATTTTTTTCTCATATTGTAAATAAAGATTTTATTTACATTAAATTTATTATTAATAAAATAGGAATAAATAAGAAATTGCTGAATATTAATTGAAAAGTTAGATATTTTTTGGAAATAATATATTCAAACGCGCGTTCCAATTGACATACATTTCTAACATCTCTACATCTCTAGCTCACCTGTTATCATTTTCTGGCTTCATGTCTAGCACGGTTTGAGCCGATGATACGTTTCTGATAAAAATTAAATTGTTTAACTGTTAAAACATAAAACAAGTTAAAAACTGAGTTAGAAACATATCAAAGCAAACGGAAGTTACCTATCTTCATAAGTCTGTTTTAAAGTGGCTCTCGAGAAAAGTGCTTGTACTGGTGCAATCATGGCCTTGTCTCTACATCAAGAAATTATTTTTATTTAATAAATGAAGATCTTCAATAAATAAAAAAAAATATAATTTCATGCAACAAAACGTTTATTATGTCTGTTATAAATTAAGTATATAGGTATATAATATATGTATATACAAATTTACTTTAATTATTAATATTATGTTATTTTTATGGCAAAATAGAAACTCACTTTTCATCAGGTTTCATAGAATGTGTTTCAGATGCTTCGGATTGTGATAAATCTATACAGTTTCTGAAAGAGAATCGCGAGCATTTAGTAACTATTCTAATCTTTGAGTAAAAAGTTAGCGAGAAAATTCAAGTAAAACTTGCGAACTAACTTGTTTCTGTTCTCAGGCTTCAAAAATATAGTTACAAAAGAAATCGGTTGAAACAAAGTCGTAGATGAATTATTACTAAAAGAAAAAAGGAAAGAATTATATTTTTAATTCTTAAATATAATTTTAAAATCTGATAGTCTGTTTAAAAATGATTTCTAGCAATATCGTATAACTGTAGATTGTAACAGCTAGATATATAAATATTTACTCACTCTCCTGTCTGTTGTAATGGTTTCAAAAATATTGATGGCACAGCTTCTTTGCTGAGATAAATTCGTCCTTCTATATTTCGAAACATTTCTACTCGAAAATGTAAATGGCATAATCGATAATATCGATTTGATAATTCTGGGCCTAGTGTCACCAAATCCATTCTATCACATGCTTTAATCCATTCTAACCATCTGAAATTATATAATTTTAAATATAAATCTGACAATGAATATATTATATATTAAACATACTATAGAACATAAATTTAAAGATATATTCAGATTTATTTCGTATACAAGCATAAAATTAATTTTTAAAGAATATAAAAGTAAAAAAAGAGATGTTAAAATTCGTACATATAAATGCATCACATTAAGCCTTGTATCTAATAGATGCTAGAAATAAAAGACAAGTTATATCTGAATAAAAGGTCAATTAACTTATGTATAATTAGTCATCTCTTTTCTATCTAAAATCTTAAAGCAATTTCTAGCATTGTAGACAGAAAGCTTTATGGTCTAGATTAGATACACACAAATACCTTTTTCTATCTTTCGGAAATCGAAAGAAATGTCGTCTCGTTATTTTTATATTCAACATACAACCTGGTGCAGAGCACCAACGAGTGTTAGTTCCAGTTCCATCCATTCTTTTTAATGCAATATTATTTAACACACTGCAATTGATTTTCTATTTGGAAAGCTAAAGTATAGGCATAAATATAAGTTTAATCATTGTAAATATCTTATTAATCTTATGTTTTATACATTAAACAAAGTATATTAAATTAATATAATAAAGTATATTAATATTTTTAAGTCTGCAAGTTTTATATTTAATATTATAAAACTTAATTTGCAAATTTTAAATATTTTAATCACAAAAATATCATACACAATGTTACTATATAATTTTATATAACATAGCTTTGAAATATATAAGTAGCATATAACTGTCAGTCAGTTTTTTATAATAAGAATTTATTAAGAAATTAAACTAAATTTTTTATAAAAAACAGTTTAATTAATACACATAAAGATCTGCAATATTATATCTTAGAAATAACACAATTATAAATAAAAAAACTGCACAAAATATATTTGTTAAAATATAATTAATTTCTCTCTATTAAATAGTCAATATTATGTTTTAAATTATTCTTTTATTATTTAGCAGCAAAACTCAAATTTAATAAACTGTCATTCAATAATTTCTCACAGCTTTGCTTACTATTTTTTATCTACTTACTTCCAAATGTATACAAAATCTGTGTAAAATTGTTACAAGTTATCCATAAAATTGCATATTTAATTTACAAGCATTATCTTACAATAAGTTTTAATTTAGTTAACATACACTGCCATTTGTAAAGATTTGGTCACTCATATCTTTTTGTATTTTCCATAAATGCGAGAGAAATTTTAGGGAATATTTACCTTAATCAGGACAGCAGATGACACACCTTGTTCATGGAATTACTTGAAGGGAGGTTGTGAATTCTATAACAACTCACGAATGATAAATCCTTCAATTTTCGTGAATAAAACTTTGTATTCGTCTCAAGTTTTTCACGTCGCATCCTGTCGATACACGAACGGCTCTTCCCATTTCTCAATTCCCGCTTTCTTTTTTATGCAACTTTTCGGAGATAAACAAATGATCCGTTAGATTAAACCGTCGTGGAGAAGAAAAAACGGAAGTAACCGCGTTTTCGGATTCCAAAGGAATAAAAAGGTGAGGAAAAGAAATCACAGAAAAATACGCAGAAGAGGATTAGAGGAATCCTGTCTATCACTTTTAACAAATGAGAAACGATTTCGCGCGAAGCGATGCGCGTGTTTGTAAAAAAACCGTCAAAGTTGAACATAATAGATTCCATTGGTTGACCTATCATCAGCCAATTGCTGTTACATTGAATACGCGGCAATTTCAAAAATGGTTGTCTTTTGATCCAAAATGTTTAAAAGTTTTCGCAAAACTTTGTTGAAAATCACATTACTATTAACTTCAAGGTATCTTTATTACAATCTTATTACTGAAAAAAATTAAATAATAAAAATACAAAGTATTTTATATAAAAAAATATAGAATCATAAGTACTATAATAACTTCATGCGGAAATATTTTTCTAAATATATCATATATACAAAGGTATTAAATAAACACATCTTCCTATATTATAATAATATTATACATAGCAGATAAGCTTCGCGTAAATGCTCGCACGCTTTAAGCGCTTATAACCATCATTCTGTCTTTATCAGATATATTTATTTATTAGACGCAAAACAAGGATACAAGCGCTGAGAGCGTCCAAACTGAATGCAGTTATACAATAGATGTATAGATGACTAGTACGTTTCCATCTAACTCATGCATTTATAGATTTATACAATACACATGTACATACGCGATAGAAACATAAGGTCCTCAAAAAGTCCAGAAACGGTTGAAAACAAAGCATTTTTGAAAAAAATATTTCAAACAAAAATATAATAGTCGGGGGGTGTCAAGAGCTTTTCAAAACACTACAATAAAATTGTTTTTTGTTCAGCATTTTAAGTAAATAAAACTTGAACTTCAGCTTGAAAGTTATAGTATCACCGGCATTAGCATTACCCAAGGTATACCACATGGAGGTTTGCCTGATTGGATTTACACCAGATCAGTAAATACATCATTTTAAACCCTATAATTTTTTCCTGAAATATTTTTCTTAAAAATACTTTGTTTTCGAGATATTCAACTGTTTCCGGACTTTTGAGGACCTTGAATGTATGGTATATATATGTATATTACAAAATACATAATTACGGCATAAAATCTGTGTTACATGTTCTCGTATTATGTACTCAAGAGTATACTGAATTTCAATATAGCGTCTATGGCAGGTTCAAGTATTATTTCATCTTCAATGGACCAACCAACGGTATCTGTAGCTAAAATTAAACAAGGAAAATATAGTGAGAATGCATCACAATGAATTTGATAACAAAAAATAAATCAGATAAAAAAGATAGTATATATCAGAAAACAGCAAAAGTTTTGGATAAGATAACATAGGATATTTTCCACTTAGTGACATAAATGATCATCTTGTTTTATCTTTCTTGAGATTCCACAAATAACAAAGATAGAACAATACTTGTATCAATTTGTATCAACAAACAGTAAGTACCCATTATCTACCTGAGACTGTGTAACATTTGTAATAAAATTAAATCGCATTATATTATATAAAATTGTACTCTATCAAAATAATTTTATAGATTATATAAGACCAAAAAGCAAGTTATTTTAATTTAGTATACAAATATTTTTGATGTTCAAGAGATATTATCGAAATAGATATATCGTTAATCTTTTATAAATTATCATCTTTTTATGTTTAATCAGGAAAATAGAGATAATTTTTAAATATGAAGTAATATTACGGTCGGTACAAAAATTATTTATGAAGTAATATTTATGCACAGATAGATTGCAATATTTTGAGAACGTCACATGGAATGCATACAATAATTAATATAAAGAATACGAATATATTACTGTTGCTGCAGACATTAATTAACAATTCTCAAGTATTAGGAATCTAAAAATTTCCAATTTTAGTAATAATGATCACATACTTAGATTATTAATGTTAACTGTAGGTGGTGCAGAGAACAAAGTAACGCGCGTTTTCTTCAAGAGCTTACTCTCTAAACAGCCCAATCTGATTAGCATCTGCAAAAAATTATTTTCATTAAAAATTAGCTTCTTGCAATAATATCAAGAAGAAAATGTATATGACTGTATATTTTTTTACTAATAAGTTGTAGAAGTTCTATAATACTTATATCTAAACTTTAATAGAGCGAGTCTCGAATCCAGAAATATCGATTTACAAGTATGCTTTTAAGGCTTTCATGGATTATTACTATCTTTAAAGATACCAGAAGGGTTATCATCATGTTTTCATCCATTGCTAATACCAAATGGCACCGATAACCCGGAAACCTTCTGATATAATTTACAAGTATATAGACAATCAATAAAACGAACCTCAACTAATTCACGTGTATGATAGGGTTGTAGAACGGGAATAAATTTGTTTTGAATTTTCGCCATTGTGAGCCCAGGATGAAGCATGCAATAATTCAGGACTGCACCTAACATTCGATCTAAAACTTTGCGATTTAGTACACCATCTATACGTATCCATGGTCTTATCGCAACTTTTATTTCCTCAAAATTGCTGAAAGAGAAAATATCATTTTTTAAAAACTTCTGAAAAAAATTCTTTTTTTTTTTATACGTGATTTCATACGTGAAATCTAATTGCTGCGCTGATTTATATATATCCTTTTGTGGAAGTAAACGTATCCTTTGCTTATGCGTTCTTTTTCTTGTACGTAAATGGCTTTCCTCGTTAATCTCGCTACCTTCCTTTTTATCATCGTTCTCATTAATTATATCATTGTCCGTTTTCTCGTTTTTCTTCTCTTTGCTATCTTGGTTGTCCGATGATGTTGATGCTATCATATTATCTGTTTCGCCTGCAATATATTTATTCTAAGTGTTAATCTTAAAAAAAAAACAATATATTTAATGCAGATATTTTAATCCATTTAACAATTCAACAAATCTGGAGACGTTGATTTTTTAGTATTGTCATTTTATAATGCCAAGAAACACTATAAGGTATAGTAAAGCATGAAATACAAATTGACTATAATTAAAATATAATATTGTGTACGATAAAAACTCTATATTTAAAAAATTTTTTTAAATGGAATATATAGAAGTTGTAATACTAAAATATATCTTATTCATATAATTATTATAAATGGAAATTGAAATATTCATTTATTATTACAAAATAAATGCTTTAGCAAAACATGTGAAATTTAAAAATATAATATACTATATTACATTTTTGATTTGCATCTTTTTTATCGTGGATATTTATATCTTTTGCATCCATCTCAGCGTTTGTTTCAACTATTTTCCCCTGATGCATTGTGGAATATATACTATCCTTAAATGGTATTAAGGATTCTTGTTCAAGACGATGTATTTTGCAGGAATTAATTAGCCAAGGATCCAGATAACTATGATGAATATACCGTGGTTTAGTAACACCAGAGCGTAAAAATATACGATTTTTTGTTAAAAGCGAAACGATGTTATACAAGTCTTCTCCTTGCTCATTGAAGAACTTATCCTAAACAAGATAAAAGAAAAACGATTTTTTAAAGTAATTAAGTAAAATATTTTTAGGAAAACTGTTGATTTAAAATGTAAAAAAATCGCTGAAAGATAATAAAAAAAAGAAAAAAAATTGCGCGCGCGCGCTCTCTCTCTCTCTCTGTCTCTCTCTGTAACGAATAAATTACCAGCAACTCCTGTGAACAGACGCCGATTTCTTTCTTCTCCTGGACAAATTTATATATTGCATCGACATAATTCCAGTTAATTGCTCTAGTTAATTCTTCGTTTTTCATCATGAAATCGTTGTAATCCTTGTCAGAAATACCGTTCTTCGGAAAAACAGCCATCTGATTTAACTCGCTGAGAAAATCGTTTACAGTCTCAATCTTCAGCGGTATTAATTGACTGGGCACCGAATAACCTTGAAAATTCTCAACATTGTTTGATGTTTCTGTAATTGAAGATGATGATAATTCCAAATTATAGAATATCCTGAAGCTATTAACCACAAAGTATTCGTGCGCGTGATGACTGTCGGTCATCGAAAGATCGTTTAGCTCTTCCTTCATTCTCAACATGGATATTCTAGTATATTTCTTTTGGACGTCATTTGTAGCCTCTATCTTGTTGCAAGAACTGAAGTAATTCATCTTAGGCGATATGTTCTTGATAATCTCACTAACACGTCGAGAAATCCGAGTTATATCGGTCATATTGTTTGGCTGTATCAAAGAATCTGGAATTAAAACAATATATATTATTTTAAACAAATCAATTATAAAGTTTAATTGGAAATCACAATTTAATTTAATATTGCATATAAACTATTTATTTTCTAATTATTTCTAGAGATAAAAATTTTATAATCATAAAAATATAATACACCTTCATCCTTCATCTGCTCCTTTAATTCATTCATCGATTTAAGAGATTTGGAGCTATTGAAAAATATGTTGTCGATGCTTCCAAAATCTTCACATAATTCTTCTTCAAGCATCTTTGATTCCTCGTTTTCTTCTAAGTCCTCGAAATCTATCGAATCTTCGGAAAGAGAGTTTAATCTTCTTCTCTTCGACGACTGCTCTTCGCAGTCTGTAGAATCTTCCTCAATATTAGATCTCTTTCTTGAAGAACGATTTGCACGCGTTTTCTTCTTACTTTGCTCATTAGAACGATCCTTCGGATTCGTCTCTTTGTGTTTGTTACTTTTATCAAGTAATCGCTTCTTGTCAAGTGATGTATCTTCAGTTTTCTCATATTGGTTTTCTTGTTTTCTTTTATTACTTTCTTCGTTTTTACAAAAGATCTTCGATGTTCGTTCTTCAAAATTGTCGTTCTCGACGGATCTCCTCCTCTTCAAAGAATTTTTTTGTGTTTTATGAGAAGTTCCAACTCCAGAAATTTCAGTATTCTGATCGTCGTCTTCAAAACTCTCAAGATTAAAACGGTAAAGTCTTGTTAAAATATCTTGGTATCTTTGGGCAGCTCTGAAATAAGTCTCATCTTTACCTTGATATCTTGCATCTAACATAATAATTTGATCCGGCATCTCAATGTCGAAGTCAATTTGATTGTTTGCTAAAAGATCATGCATAGCAGCGACAATGCCACTAGAAACTGGAATCTCAACACCGTTAAATGTTTCTTGTTCCTGTGAGGGGACAATGTTTTTTTGCTCCGAATACCACTGCAGTAATTTCGTAAAGACATTGTAAGATTCTTTAAAAACATCATAAGTCCATTTAGTTTGAAACCTATGAATATAGTTAATGCTTAGTTGATACTGTGAGCTGCTCAACGGCATATAGTTGCCATATTTCTTAATAGTTGCCAAGTGATGTTTTTTTACAGTCACCATTTGATCCGATTTGACCTTATTCAATGCTTGCTTTAGAAGGGCGTCCGAATAGTGTTGATACACCTTTAACAAAATAAGTTATTAGCCAATTAAAAATTTCTTGTAATACAATTTAAAAATTTTGGAAAGTTGTAAGCAATATAAAATTAACATATTGATTATATGTGTATTGTATTTTAGATAAACTCTACCTAAAAATAAACGATAAACAGAAGGAATAAAAATAAAAAAAAGAATATTATTCTTTAAGTGTAATATCTGTTAATAGATAAAAAAAATTAAATGTTAATTTTATATTATTCAACACATACATATTTAAAGATTTAACTTCATGAATAAAATATTTTATATTACATACCCAAAAGAGTTGGTAGGCCCAGGAACGCCTATCCTTCCCACAGCACATGGAACTGTGTATAACAGAATTAATAATCGCCGAATGAATGTCAGTGATGCTTCGCACATCCTTCGTAAAACCCTTATTATAATGTGGCTTCGTTGGATGGACCACTTCGAAGAAAAGATTAAATTCTTGCACTGTCTTTGGCATCGCCATATGCTTTTTTGGTTTAATCTCTGCAATATCGTAATACTTTTTCATGATATAATCTACAACCTCTTTAAAAATCTCTATTATTCGCTTCTCATACTCTGCTGAACTTGAACACTCGCTCTTTAATCTGTCTATCGCACCGCCGTATCGTTTATCGACAAACGGATCCTGTTTAACTTCCTCGATGCCCAACGCAACGCTGTTCACCGTGCGTGGTTGTCGTAACATATACATCAACCTACGCTGGCAGGCGCGCGAAGTCTTATTGTACGAGCTGTAAGAGTATGTTCGCAATACATCTCGAACCGTTATGAAACTGACCATCTGCTTGCGTGGATTTGGCGACAAGTAAGTCGATGCTACTTTGCACACTAGCAATATGTTGTCTTCGTGAGTGTCCCATTCCACTCGCAGCTTATTCATCCGCTGCATTGCCTGATAATCGTCCTCGTCGAATTTGACCCGTGCACTTTTCTTGCGCGGCACTACATGCCGCACAAAGGATTTCTGCCTTCTGGATTGATGCGACGACGGTAGAGCCTCGTACTTCCGTCCAGCAAGGTTGAGATGATCCTGTACCTTCTTTCGCAATTCGATCGCGCTGACGGCAGACGGTGGCGGTGGTCCCGAAATCTTCTTCAAACCATCATACTCTGTATACTTAACTGGTTTTACTTGAATTTTCGATAGATGCAAATCCCGTTGGCCTGTACTGGATTTTCTCTGAATCTTAGAAGTTTGCTGACAAAGAAAATATTTCATAAATAATACTGCAGTAAATATATTGCTATACAATTTATATACTGATAGTGATTTAATTTATCTTGATATTAGTCAATAGATTTATAAATTTTTATATATAAATAAAAATATCTCTTATCTAATATAAAAATATTTATTAGAAATTTTTTTTTATATTAAAAATATATTAGTCTAAAAAAATCTGAAACTTTAAAAAAAGAAAAAGATCAATTGTTTTTTTCTATCCCAAATGATTTTACTCTTTACCTGGGGATGTTTATAACTATTGCTTGACCAATTCCAATTGCGTTTCAAATGAGCAAAGAGAGCTGAATCAGTACCAGCCGCTCCTTTATGATCTCCGGGAACTACACCGACATCTCTTTCTACGGCCTCTTTAGGATTGCATGCTGCAACTGCTTCGATCATAGCAGCCTTTTTACTTAAATCCTCAAGTAGGATATCCTTGCCATGTACCACCAGCCTACCGCCAAGTAGAGTATTAACACAAATAGTCCACATTTCATACCAATATTTTTCAACGGCCTGTAAAGAAATAAAATATTATTAATGAGATATTAATGAGATATCATTTTTTGTAGAATAACTCGATTAGTCCTTAAAATATTAATAGAAAACACTTTTTATTTATTTACTTAAATCTATTAAATCTTAGTTTTTTAAAGACTGTATGACTTTCATATACAAAATAGTATTGCTTATTATAATAGTAAAAATTACAATATTACTGTAATATAATAAGATGAAGCAAAAATTAGTTTTAAAATAAATTATACTAGAAAATTGATTACTGATATATATGAATAGAATCCAATAATCAATATATATTTTTTAAATCAAAGATTATAATATAAATGATTATCATTTTCGACAGCAGTACTTTTCGAGATAAAAAAACAAAAATCATATATAATTTCTTGATGTTTAGAATTAAATTTATCCCACAAAATTAAAAATAGAAATTTAGAAGATTTAAACATTTTTTTTAAATATTTTTTATATATTCTTAACGACAATATTAATCAACATTACCCGCGTGCGATCGAAGAAGTACTTAGTCGCTGGATACGTCTTATCTTCGATCTTATGATAGCCCGGTGCCGAAGACGTCGTGTCCATCAGTTCTGTGCGTCGGTTAATGTAGATGAACACTTGATCTTTGTCTTTCAGTCGTTGTGGACCAAACTGCACTAGACCAAGGTAGCATAATCTGGTGATAGTGTCATGGATATTAAATATATACTTCCGTGCATGTAACAAACTATTGCGTATGGTAACCTAAAAATTTAAAAAAAGTCTTTGAACAAAATCAGCATTGTTAATAAAATTTAAAAAAGATCGTTAAAAACAATAAGCACAAACATAAATCTTATAACAAGGATAATTAATACAAAGATATAAAAGCCATTAATGTCAGTAAAATAACTCGCATTCTATCTTCAAAGATCGAAGCTCATATCTAACTTTCAGTTAATTCGCAGAATAATAAAAATCATGATTACTAATATTCGAAACTGTTTAATCGAGTCATATTTTTAATCTTACTATAATATGTATAAGATCCTCAAGAATTTCAAACGCACCGGAAGGTTTTTGACGAGGTAATGTTGTCTGATTGGATGATTTAAATAACGATCTAAATCCGGGATCACGAAGGTAATATTATGTATCTTGGTGAAAATCGACAAGGGCAGCCCTAACAGAATATCGCACATCAACGCCCAGCCTTCGGACCATCCGTTGTGTTTAGGTAAAGGTGGAACAAACATCTTCCAATTTACTTCGGTGTTGTAAATGGTACTAAACTCTTTAACGAGATCGTCGCTGATTTCGTATCCATTAGACCTGAGCATTTCTACCTGCTTTTCCTGAGATAATATCGGTATACCAGGATGATCGTAAACCAGATAGAAGAGCAGAATATGCATTGTTCGCATCCTAACAAATTTCGGACTAAAACCGTAACGTCTACCAGCTTTGGCATCGTACTTGTAGTTTATGGAAGATGATTTAGTCGCTGCCTTATTGAGTTGCAATTGCTCCTTAGGTGACTTGTCTGTTTTCTCTTGCTTATCTGTCTTCTTCACCTGCACTCTCCTTTGAGACGCTAATAAGCAAAACTTGACCTTTGCTTGCTCAACAGCTGACTTAATTACAGTATGATTAGTGTCAATGTTAGGATCGCAAATAAATGTTAAATTCTTTTCACGTCCATTTGCACTCAAGGTCAACTTGATGTTCTTCACCAGGTTATCTTTAGCAAGTTTCTGTAACAGTCTGATGAGAGACTTCTTGTCAATCTTCACATCGTAACCCTCTTTATCTTCTTCCTCGCAAATCAGCTTCATGAGTTTCGCGGTATCATCAATCACTTGATTTTCTTTCACTGCCTCGATTATCAGATTGGCACGTCTTAACAATCTAAATACATATCAATAGAAAATATTTAATAATATTGATATCTCTACAATGAAAAAATTTGTCTTTGTATTTCTATAAATTTAAAAATATTCAAAAATTACAAAAATATAAAATTTACATTACAGAAGAATAAACAAAATTATATATGCAAAAGTTAGATAGCATTTATATATTCTTTTTTAACTAATATATACATTTCTCTCTAAGAACAATGATTTAATCTATCTATTAATTTAATTAACCATTTATTTATGCTTATTTGCATATTTATACAAACCTATATGTAATATTAGAGTTTCTCTTCTCACTATTCTGCACAATTTCCATAAAACCAAAGATTTCACTAATTCCTTTTGCAGTGCGAATGGGCTTTTGCATTATCAAATTTGTTTTTATACTATTATAAAATGACGTAGCTTTAGCATCATTAATTATTTGCTGCAAAGACGTATTTAAATTATCGAAATTTTCTTTTTCCTTCTCTCTCTTCGCATTAGTATCAAGACATTTTCTCCTCATTAATAAAGATTTCGACGTCGTGCATCTGTATTTAGATCGAATTTTTGACAAACGATACTTGTGTAGAATTCTATTGACAACATAAAACAAATTCTTTAATTCTGTTTCCTTTCTGGGACAATTTTCATCTGCATATTTATCTTCCTCTTTATCAAGAATCTTATCTTTATCAATAACTGGTGCATCAACATTATCAACTTTATCAATGTGATGGTCAGAAGAGGAGTTTTTACTTGTCTGATCATGGATCACTGGGTACTTTTCATTTTCTGCTTGCAAGGACGTTTTATTCTTCAGATTTTCTTTAGTTTTATTGGTTATTTTCATGGAGAGTTCCTTAATCTTATGTACCTCTTTATTAAATTGCTTACTCATTTTGCTGTTTTCTTCATATTTCTTTGAAACATATTTTGTAATCCTTTGCCGACCTACATCATTCATGTATGTTGCAGCAATACCCGATTTTACCACATTTCTCATAAATGATCTAGATTGTAATTTAGTAAGACCCATTTCCTTTCCTAACTGAGCTAAAAATTATATAATATAAAATTTCTTAATTTCTATTTGCCTGTAGTTCGAAAATTAAATAAAAAAATATAATATATATTAATTTTTTTTGTAATACACTAGAACTCCGTTTACACACATACACACATACATACACTTCATTTATAATCAATTTCTTCACTTCCAAATAAATTGCGGATAACTTCATTCAGGAAATATCTCCATTTTCTAGGAAATATCTCCTGGATGAAATTATTTAGAGATAAAGAAATTAGGACATTACGAACAAATTCATGTTAAATATCCGAACTTACAGCTGAGCTATTACCGAAATTACAACGCTATAATTGGGGTAATAGGTACTCGACCTGCTCTACTTCAGTTTTTCTGAACAGAAAGAAAAGTTATTGAACATCTTATCCAAATTGGTTATCCAAATTGGTTATCAAAATTGTACTCTAACATGTTCAGATGTATATAAACAGAGTTGTACTATATTACAATAATTTGAGCATAAATTCGTAAACTCAAATAACAAAATTTTAAAATAACGTTTACAAATCATACGACATCTTTAATTAGGTTTAATTCATAGTTATACATATAAAAATAGTCAATTCCAGTTATTCCATTCTTCAGAAGAATAAATATACAATTGATCAATTTCATATAACTATGGATATTATTGAACCTGATTAAGGATGCTGTGCAAATGTAGTCAATTACAGAAATCTATGATTTACTACTAACCTTGAGATATACCTTCTGCTTGACTAGCTTCAATAATAGCGTTTGTTTGTTTCAGATATGGAACATTTACCAAATGATTAGATATATCCAATTCAACAAGGTCTTCATCATCTTCTTTCTCTTCTTTGTTCCATATATCAGCAACATTCACATCTGGATATAATACCTGCACAGCTCTAATCTTTTTCTCTTTTGAAGGATCTTGTTTTTGCCGCCACTCGCTGGGCTCTGCATTAGGATACAATGTTCTATATGGTACACAGATGTCTGTCTTTACGATTTTTTGAAAAAAGGCAGTTCTAAACAGTTTCTTGATAGAATTCTCAATTCCAAGCTTCTTTTTAATCTCATCGTACTCAGCCACGCCATTGTCTTTGAATCGTAAAATATCAAGCACCTGTTCCGCTAGATAAATCATTTTTGGCTTTCGTTCCACATAGAATCGTGGTAGATGTAACAGACTACCACTGTTGCAATGGCCGGAGCTCTTTTGATGATGTATTTGCTTTGTGATCAATTTGTGCTGCAGTAGAAACTTTCGATGGTAGAACAAGGTTTTTGGATCTTGTCTAAGCGCAGCTAAGCTGAGTTTGCCTTGGGTGACTTCACCATGATAACGAGATCGGCCTACTCTCTCTAAAAAGCAATACTGCATAATACTCAGTTTCAATATTGGACTTACTTCAACACCCATCAAAGCTTGTGACCTAACGCACTGAGATGCTACAATTATCAAACCTCGTCCATATTTTTCTGTCACCTTGTCTAAACTTGTATTCTTTACATTACTTGTGATATCTTTTCTTGTGTAATATGTGGAACAAGATCCCATTACACCTGTCTTAAGATCTTGAACAGGACAATGGGGGTAAATATCTAGTGGAACATTTGGCTAAAATTTGAAAAGTTAAAAGAATATAACAAAAATTTTTAAATAACAAAAAATACAAGTCAAATTTGAAATAGAATTAAAGTATTAAGATATCAAATTGTTTTGTAATCACAAAATCATTTTATAACTTAATCTTCTTAATGAAGTAGCGAATAGTTTAATATTTCTTAAAGTTTCACAAAAAAAATATTTTATATAAATTTATACAAGAATTATTGTATTATACCTTAATATACTTACTGGTTCAAGTATAATACCAAGATCAGGATGTACATATTCATAACGATCGAATATCACAAGTGCATCTCGGGATGTCTCCAATTCATAAAACTGAAAATCCTTCACTTTCTTGCATATTAACCATATCTGTTCCATGAAGGATTTAGAATATGGTAGAGAATCATTGAACCTGTTTGCTAATCGCATCCACAATGCTAAAAATAAGAAATAGGAACTAACAAAAAATGTATTAATGCATTATTTATAACAAACAAATAAAAGAATAGCATGCAAAGATAAAAATAAAGCTAAATCAACAAGATACATATATATTTAAAAACTATGTAGATTTAAACAATAATTAACATAGTCCATTGTAATAAAAAAAACTAGATAAATTATTATGATAATCTGATCTTTTATATCTAGAATAATATAATATTTATATAATATATAAAAGTAAAATCAAATAACCTTGTAAAGTAATGCCGTCTAAGCCTTCCAAAGCAACTTCATCAACGACCGCCTCCACTAAATTACATGACGGATAAGCCATGCTTTATTAACAGCGTTGTATCTAAATACAATGAATACAATAATAGCTTTTTTAAAGTTTTGCACAATTAATAATTTTAAAGATTCAAAAGTTTTAGTGAGTTCTGTAAATCATGGAACATGTATACAACCATGGGTAAATGTAATCAACTGTAAAGTGCAACCACAATAGAAGAAATAAAGATTAGGAATAATAAGAAATTTAAACCTATCAGAAACCGTGTATTCCAGTGTATTCAATTTCTAATAAGTCGAAACGTATTATTCCTTATTCCTTCTATTGTGGCTGCACCCTAATCATATATTTTTTGTAGTTGCACTCATGTACTACGTCTGTTGGCGTTGCTTATACTTTTTATTTGAGATCTCCAAAAATATTTAACGTAAAAAGCAAATAAGGACGAAGATGCAGAAAGTGCAAGTAACGTGAACAGATCGCTACTTTTAAATGTCGCTCGTATTTGATTGGTTCTCGTCTTTAAATCCAATAACAACCTCGAACGACGATTCGTTGATTCGTTTTCGTATCAAGTGATTTTGCTACGCTTGTTTGCACTATCTCGTTATTTTGTATGTTCGTGATCGAGGATGAGTAGGATGAGCCTAACCTAAATTAATTGTGCGTGCTACTTAGAGATACAGAGTAATTTACGTTCTTGCAAAACTTTACGTCACATCGATGAAGTGATTGTCTGGATTACATTTTCCGATAACTCCTTCAGCCGAACCGTGTCATAAAAATATTGCAGAGAAAGTTTATGGTGAAATTCACGGATATCCGACAATGATGAACAGCTGGCGAGGCACAAACATGCCAACAAATTCAAAGGTAAAATCTTACATATATACAAATTTATGATTGAAACATTATTTTCAATTTAAAATACAATTATATATAATATATTGCAATAATTATCTGTTGTTATCAAAAACAATTAACTGAGCAGAAATTTAAAAATGTTTGAAGATTGATTGAGAATAATTTCGTTTTTTCCATTGTTTAATAAACGGAAAAAAAATTCTTGATAAATTTTGTTATTTATTTTACTGCAGGACTTGGAACATAATGAGTTTATGAAACGTATAAGAAAGTCATTATATTATTCCAAGTTACCAGTGATTAACTGCTTGAGTTTACCAGTTACAGGTCAGTATGACATTAAATTATAAACTAACAATTAGAATCTATTGATACATGAAAATAATTTGTCATTTTAAATTGTTATCTTTTATATTAATAAACAATCATTTATAATTGATACATTATTGTCTAATAAATTAAAATTTGTGTAACACTTTAATGTGGTTAAAAGAAATTTTATGTTATTAAATATACTATTTTTACTATAATATATTATTTTATCTGAGAGAATAGTGTTTTTGTGTTACATGAATACAAATATTTCTTTAAAAAAAAGATTTAAGGAACAAAAAGTCCTAAAATATCAATTTTCAATATTTGTCTTTAGTTTCATTAAATTAAATTTATAAATTTGATAACATCTGATCTGATAAATTTATAGTCTGATAACATTTTATTATACGTGCTCTAATTTTAAATATTATTCTGTCTAAAAATAATTTTATTTTATGAAGAATAACAAAAAATTTTATTTACATGCAATAGCTAAGAAAGCGATTTGATTTATATATATTATCTGTCTCTCAAACAATTCTAATTTCTATCATAGTTATATATCCATTTTTTTGTAACATTACTTCTTTGTATTTATATATATTATTTGCTATTCTGTTTTTAATTTATATATCTATAACTCACGTTCCTTTTTTTGTCTCTATCTTTCCTTAATTTCTTCTCCATTTTTTTTCAAAGTTTCTTTATCACTTTTTCTCTTGTATCTAATTCCTGTTTAAAAGCTTTCTTGTCTTTTCATCTAATTTTATGTGTAAACTTGTGTTATTCGTACTTTTTTCACAAAATAAATATTTCTCACTACCTTAACTCAACATATCTTAACTAATACACATATTAATAAAGCATAATTCATAAATTAATTTCTTTTGTATTTTTAGAATTGGCAGCCGAACTTTTTACAGAGGTGAAAAGCAGTCATACATTGGAAAGACTCGATGTCGAGGAAGCAAGCAGAATATCCAGAAACACATGTGTTTCTCCTTGCTCACTTGTGTTGGCTTTGCTGTATATTGAAAGATTAAAAAATTGTAATCTAGAATATCTTCATCAAGTAGCGCCGTCTGAGCTATTTTTGGTTTCTTTGGTAATTTATTATTTTTGTATTTTGACATGTCAATGTGATACAACTTTTAACATCATTTAAGTGAATTTTTGTTAATGCTTGTTAGATGGTAGCAAGTAAATTTTTGCACGATGATGGTGAAGAAGATGAAGTTTTCAACAAAGAATGGGCAAATTCAGGACAAGTGACTATAGCTCGAATGAATAAATTGGAAAAAGATTTTCTTGCTGCAATCGTAAGTAACATCTTTTGTACATTATCTAAAATTTATATAATTTATAATTTAATTATTAATTGACTATGTATTTATTTATCAAAATAGATTTTGTCATTTTTATATCATAGGACTGGACAGTGTTGGTAAAGAACCAAGACTTTTGGGAAAGGTTGCAAGAACTAGAGAAAAAGGTGGCATTTCGAGAAGTACACAAGCGCAGATGGTGTACATATACAGAATTGAATTGTTTGATGAATTCCGTTCAGTTGATTAGAATTGCACAAACCTTAATTAGTGTGTCTTCGATCTGCCTGGCAACTTATGCTGCTGGATTGGCGACTCTCCTAGGATCAACTCTGATTGCCAATTTTATTGTGCAAAGTTGCTTACCCGGGATATCGCTTAGTTCGAGACAACCAACGAATTTATCAGTAAATCTCTCGTCAACCGATCTAACTGATACATTGATAAATACACAATCCCAGGAAATTAATGATGATGGTCTTCCGATTTCTGATTCTGAGAATATTGTAGTTTATTCTGCAATTGTGGAAACTGATGATGGTGATGATGATGTACAAGCCAGTTGGAAATGGTGGCAAAACTCAACGATGACTTGGCTGCCTGAGTATTGTTTAGAGAGCAATGTCGAAGTTATAAATTACACTGACAAATTATGCATTATCAATATCGACTTTCCATTCAATTCGACGCAAGCTATAAATATAAGGAAGATGGAGAAAATAGAGAAAACAGAAGATTTCGCACCGGAAGACCATCGCAACGTAAATTGGAAGGAAATACTAGACACAACTTTAAACTGGTTAGAACAAAACTGGAGACAATCGCATTACGAAAGTATCTTTCAGTCACCAGAATTAAAAATTTACTATTAGCTTGCTGATAAAAATTTGCCTGTTATAGACAACCTTTTTCAAAGGATATAAACAGATACATAAACCTATATTTTTTGTACTAACGTTTTGCAGTGAAATGTTCGATACTAACAGATCTGTTTTTCTCAATAAATATTCGATGTCGGCGCATACTACAAATGTTGTTTTACATCTAAAAGTAATTACATACTAGGGAATGAATAAGTGGTTTTTGTGGAAGACTGATATTAAAACAAATTTTTATTCTGGTTTAACTCTGATCACACACACATATAAGCTTCTTTTTTTAAATAGATTTTGCATCGGATTAAAGCCTCGTGAAACACAATAGGTTTAAAAACCTATTTCATCTTTAAAAAACAATCATAATATTGCACACAAATTTTATCCTATCTATGTAATTCTATACTATACACATTCTATACATTTATATATTAAATATTTTGTAATACTGAATTTGATGGAAATCGTGTTATTTACGATAGTTGAACATTAAAATTATAAAAGTTTGTAGGCATTTGTGTAAAATAAAATACTTATTGTGGGATATTTGCGGCCTGTCCTACATACTAAGTTTACTAAATTAATTCGTTTTTCTCAGTCGTTTTTTTTTTGCTAATTCAGTTACCATTGCGGAAAAGCGCGGCTAACGGTATAGGTGTCATGCCAATAATACATCCAATCGTAACACCGATAACTCGACCCTGTATTCAACAGAAAAATTACCTCGAATAATTTCACTGAAAAAGACCATCCTTTTAATTATCCAAAAATCTTTTTTACATAAATTTCATAGTACTCTTAATAATAAAATAAAAAAATATGCTATATATAATGAAATAACAATTGTACCACATTCGCAGCTATCCGTGTCCTAGGTAGATTCAGTTGTGCTAAGGTTAATTTAGGAGCTTCAAAGCCGATTTTTTGGGCAAACATCTCAACATAATGCACCGAACCGATTCCAATGACATCGGACACCGTGTTGCCCAGCGCTGCTGCTGCCATGGTGGAGATAGGAAACCTTCTGTTCAGCATCAATTCAATTTGATCGCCCTGAAACATCAATCTTAAGAAGTCAGCACATAGGAGACGATGGAAACCCGTAAGATACGTACAGCAACGATCATGATGAAGTTGTCAAGAAAACCAAATCCAACGAACGGAATTGCATTCGCAATCGCGACTGCAAAAATACAATTATCGTTCTACATTATTCATTTTTAACCGGAATGGATATTTAAATTATTATACATATGTAAAACTTCTACATATTTTGTCCAATTAGAATTTTCTTAAAATAGATCTATACCATTTAATAAATCTTTTTGCAGTAATGATAAATTTTTGAAAATAAAAGTATTATTTAATTTATATTTCACGAGCAGCAAAAAAGATAAATAAGATAAAAATGCGAATTACTTGCTAGTGAATATATAAATTCTCTGAATATAAATTCTCTGATATTAAAAATAATACATACCGAGTACCAAGTCTTTCGTGGATGGCTCTGCAACGTGTTCAACTGCAAAACACAAAAGATTCAATTTAAAAAGTTAATCTTATTTAATATGAAATTATATAATTACTTGAATGAAACTAGCAAGCATTAAATGCAATATGAAGTGAATTACTTTTATTGTTCGTAAACATCAAAATTGTATATTGTGACGTATTTTTAATGAATATGAATAAAAAAGGAATCTGTAGAAAATTCAAATGAAGAACAAATTTATTATAAGGAAAATATAAAGAAAAAGCTCTACAATTGAAGAAAAAAAATTATTTAACAAACTTAACAAAAATCATCATTTTATCCAAACAATTTTGCCTAATTAAGGATGAAAAATAATCTAGTCAAATAATTACTTCAAAAATAAAATTTGCAGGAAATACAAAAGAAAATATGAAAGAAATAATTCTATAATTTATAAAAATGTATTTGTTTAAAAGAGAGAAATTATAATAAGGACTAATTTCCATATTGGAGAAAAAGATTTTTTCAAAAATGAGAGAGAAAAGTGTCCAAAATATTACCTAACTGTGGCACTGTGGTTGACCGTGAAACATCCGAAAAGTTATGTCAGAATAGAAGCAGGCAAGAGAGTTAGTGTAATTAGAGGAAAAAAGAGACACAGAGAGTGCTAGAGAATTGAAGAGAAATCGAGAAAAAACGAGAAACTTACAGAATAGCATCCATGGAGATCGCATTGCAGGAAAAATATTCCATTATATCCAAAGTTACCATTAAATAACAGGGAGGTTAATTTTATTTTGCGAGATCTATAGGTAATAAATCTAAGTTAATGTTCATAACGTTTCATGAATATAACAACTGTTACACTGCATTAAAGACATTTTAAATGATCCTATACTTCTTTCTTTAATAGTACCAATGATTCAACGAATACGTGACATGTATAATTCAAAAAAAGATATAAAAATAACAATGTCCTTACCATACTTGCGGTTTAACCAATCATCTGGCATAGGGCAGTAGGTTCCTGTAGGATCCACCTCGCCTAACGATGGTATTTTGCTAGGTCTACCTAACTTGCTCCTCCATCGAATAGCAGCTAATTGACCTAGCAAAGACGCAAGAATTTTATTGTTTCTTTATGACATATGTATAAAGCTAAATATATCAAAGAAGATCAATATATCTCTCCTATCAGTGTATAATCTTGTAAAAAATTTTTTTTACTGTAAATCTTTAAAATCAGTATTATTCTCTAATTAAAAAGCAAACGCTTGTCTAATATAAGCATTTTATTATATGTTTCTTTATGATATATGTATAAAGCTAAATATATATAAAAGAAGATCAATGTATAATTATTTTCTACTATACATTATTAAGATCAGGATTTTAGCCTCATCTAGTTAAGTATAGCAAGTACTTGCTATAATGCAAGAATTTTATTTACATATATGTTTCTTCATGATATATGTATATATAAAGCTAAATATATAAGAGATCAATATTTTCTCCATCAATATGTAATTTTATTGTTAATCTTTAAGATGAGAATTAGCCTTTCGTTAAACATCAAACGTTTGTCTAAGATTACAAATTTATTGGAGCAAGCAATATCTACCTTCATAACCAGCCTTCTTCTCTGCTGATTTGCATTCGTTCAATGCTGTCAAGAACAAGCCACGCTCCTCCGAGGAGAGCTTTGACACCAACTCCTTCGCTTGCTGCTTCGTCAAGGCATCGACGATGGCATCGGGGGAAATCGGAGTTCTCACCGAAGAGAACATTTTCGAGCTCTGGTGAAACCAGCCCAGAACTCGCGAGACATCGGCGACGCACAATGATGTGGGACACTGTCGTGATAGCATACTATCCATCGACGATTTGCAACTGAAGCAATGCGGTCGTTTAACGCTGAGTCGCATAATATCCCTCGAGGTAAATCCTCGTCGACCAAGCGCCGTCACCGATACGCACATCTTATCTAGGTATAGGGGAGCGTTAAACGAATAGAGACTCACGCGTTGACACTTGTCTAATTTCTACGTGACCGTTCTCCCTTTCTCGAGAGGACAACCTCTCGGGAAGCATCTGGTGTAATCCGGTAAATGCGGGAACGCATTCAAGGACTCAGTGATGTCAGAGTCAGACTTGGTCAGATGTCAGACTGACTTGGAGTAACTTGGACTGACTCAGCTACTGGCGCCACTGTCCATAATACATCATGCCACTGTCAAGTGTCAATTACCAAGCATGGTGGAAAAGTCATGACACACAAAAAATTTTAAAATCGACAGGAGTGACTAGAATCCTGTATATAGAAGAGATTCAAAATCGAACTTCCAGTGGCAGTCTCCCATCAGAATCCGGATACCAATCATCACCTCCACCGCCGATATATTTGAACCGCTCCAATGTTATAAACATAAACTCTGTTTAAACATGCTCCGTACTCCGATAAGATTTGTTTACCAAAACAAATCAAATTACAGCAAGAATAATACCTTAATTTAAAAATCTATTAATGTAAAAGCGTAATGACAAGGAATCAATGCTGGACAAAGAGTCCGTATGAATTAACTCTCAATACGTAACAAAAAAAAAAACGCATAACAAATTCTTCTTAAATTTCCCTGCTTGGATTTCTGACTCAACTAAAGGATCATAAATACTATAATACAATACCACGCAATGAACGTATACAAATTCTACGACCACGTGTATCAGCTGTCAGCCTTTGTAAGCAACTGCGATTAGTGCGGTTACCAAGTAGTACTACTTGAGTCATTCTATCTTCATCGTCCATTAGACATGAGACAAGGATAGTAATACACAAATGGCGCTGATAGCGCGCTGTCCAAAAGCAGTCACAAGCTGCTTCACTTAGCGGCATGTTCAGATTCCCACCCGAGTGCTCCCTGGGTGTCATGTCATCCTTGTTTAACATTAGGCAAACAATAAGGATAGAAGGATATCTGAGTGGCACTCGGGTGGGAATCTGAACATAGCCTAGAAGGGGACATCCAATCAGAATACACATTAGACTACCAATCAGAAATTCGGACATCAAAGAACTGAATTTTGCATTTTTACTTTTAAAAACATTATAATAAATAAAATAATGCGCGATATATGCTCCTTATTTACGGTGCAAATACACATTTGCGAGCTAATATTTTATGAGATAAATATTACGTCATATGAGACTTTTTAATTTTTTTTAACATTTTTTAAAACAGTATTTTATTTTACAATTACCTCATTCTGGAAAAGTTACGAATATGCAGTATGGTACATAAGGTGAAATATTCAAAATTCAAATATCCCAGTCCCACCAGTGACCAGTCGGATGCAGAACTGTGTAGAACGTGTTTCTCTAATTTTGTCGAGTCGTAAAGTGTGTGTGTACACGTTGCAGGAAAACATACATATATACAATCTTCGTGTTAAAACGGGCTTAAAAAACTTTGTTGCTCATATTACATGCAAAATATGGTGTACCTACATTTTCCGTCAAACTTAACAGAGGAAGAATTGATGCTGCAGACTAAGTTCAGCAAGCTGAAGAGAAAGGTACAGGTTATGTTTTTGTATGAAATATATACGATAAAATTTAATTTATCTGTTAGATATTTACTTCTCAATTAATTTATAACGCAAAATTCGAATTTCTGTTTAATCTGCATGCAAAGGTCATCGTTTTTTCTAATAATTATTATTTCTGTGTATCTGTATATATATAGTTATCTTACCTTTCTTTTTGATTTTCATTAATCATTCCTCCCCCTTTCTAGAAAAAAGCGCTACAAGATCTAAAAGCTCCTAAACAAGAAGCAGAACGCATTCCTCAGGCTCCAAAACGGCCTACGGAAGCAAGAGATGCTCGCGAAGTAGCCAAGAAGTTGATTAAGTCTGGCGTGATCACAGCCCCAAAAACTCCTAAGCGACCGGAGCAAACTTTCAAGAGATCTCGTGGACTGGAAAGAAAGTTAAATAGTACAGAAAAGACGATTAGTTCTTACCAACCATTCTCAGCAATGCAGGAAGAAGAAGAAACGGAGATAGTAAGGCCCAAAGTCAAAGATTTATATAATAACTTTGTTGGTGCTCAAGACACTGGGGAAAGAAATACCAGTGACATTCCAACTCCTGCTAAACAAGAAATTAAACCACGTGCAGGAAATACAATATATGTATGTGGTTATAAAATAACAGAGGATTATCTAAAGAAGCACTTCCAAAGCTTTGGAAATATTGTTCATATTTCCATGGAACAAGAGAAAAAGTAAATATAAGTCATTTTGTTCTTATATACCTATATTATTCTCCACTCAAAGTTTTAGATATTTTCAATGCAATTATTAATAATCAATTCTGTTCTTTTTTTACGTGTAGCCATGGGTTTATAACCTTTGAAAAGGCTGAATCAGCTGAGAGAGCCATAAGTGAAATGGATGGTAGCATGGTTTCATCCATCCAATTAAAAGTATCATTAGCAAGGAGACAGCCGATAATAGAGACGGTTAGCGACACTATGTCCAGTTCTATGTGGTCACCGATAGCGGCTAATTATTCACAGAAAAGTGCACATAAAGACAGACGGGAACTTAAAGTATACGAAGAGGATCTCTTCCAGTAACTAGGTATTTTTGTTGGCAATAATTTTTTAAATGCAATATTGTATATAAAAAATACCTATGTTACCAATATACTATTATGATATATTATGATATTTTGTAATCTCTACTTATTTAGAAATATAATTAATATATCTATCAACAAATTTGAATAGCAAACATCTACTCTATATGTAATAACTGATTTATTATTATAATTATAACAAAATTCATAATAGTGTGGAAATATTCATTAGTATATAGCTGTAAGAAAAAATATTATATAAACGAATCTTTTTAAAACCAGCTGAATCTTAATTTTTCATTTTCTTTGTTTTCTTACATTGATTGATTTAATTAATTAGATTATATACAAAATGCCTTTTTGTTAACAATTCTTTTGATTAGATGAAAAACGCAATGGATATCATTCATTTCGCTTATAGTTTCAGCTTTTTTAAATCATAAAATCATGATAATAAAAAAGAATTAAATTATTAATAGTCATATTGAAAGTATCTACATACTAAAACTTTAAATTTATGTTATTTTATATACATATATAAGAGAAAACAAGTTATATTTTTGAAGAAAAGAATAGAAATTGTGTTCTCTGTCGAAAATTATAAATTAATAAAGGTTCGATTAAATATTTTTTCTTAAATGTTATATACGTTATTGACTGACGTGTGTATATATATATATATATATAATACATTAAATTATACTACGAATTATTGTAAATAGTATTCTTTAAATATTAAAGTTTTTAATTGTATATTTGGCATATATTAATAATGTAATTACAATTTATTTTTTACAAACTTGGCACTTCATTCTGACATGTGTACAAGAGCTTTAATTCAATTCGAATTCCTTACTTTGTCATATCCTAGTATTTCCTTCATGACAAAATTGTTGTATAAAACAGATTTATACAATATGATATTTTAATTTCTAAAAACCAATAAACTATTAATGGATTTGTTTGGCAAACTGGATTGTAGAAGTGCTATTGAGGAGGATTAAAATAATCCCAATGATGATGATGTGTTACAATCCGTGTGCTACTGAAATAATATATCAACAAGCCTGCGATCAGGAGTAACAAGGCGCATATCGTTAATTCCACATCTCTTATCTTCTCTCTCGTGTCGTCCATACTTAACGTAGACGCTAAATATCCTATAAAATACCTCATAGCTTTTATACCAGCCAATCGGAGTGCTCGAAGAAGCTGCTGCGTAGTATCTATAACGCCAGGTTCTATATCAGAACGTTGACTTGTTGGCGTTTCACTCAGAGAAAAGAACTGAGCTGGAATTTCAGAAGCTGGAAAGGCGATGAAGTGAGTCGAGCTCAAAGGAAAGGAAGATATTGGCGATTGAGAGGACTCCCTTTGCTTTTCAGTAAGGGATTGTCCCGTGTCGGAAGAGTGGGAAATAACAGCACGCTGTGGTTGACTGTCTTTAGGGACATCGTGTTTCGTATCCGAAGAATAGGAAATAATGGCACGCTGTGGTTTAGCGTCCGCACAGGTACCGTGTCCTGGTACGGTTGAATCGGGAGTCGACGTATCAGGGGTCACGGAAATGGCTGGTGGCAAGGAACGAACCGGAGATGCAGTTTGCCGCATGATACCTTTGGTAGGCGAGGAGGATCTAGATCTTGACTTGCAAGGAGTATGTTCTTTACTATCGAACACGTCGTCCTTGCTGCTACGAAGATCCGTAGACATTGAGCCCAGCTCGGTAGTAGTAGTAGTAGCAGTAGTAGTAGTCGTAGTAGTAGTAGTAATAGTAGTAGTAGTAGTCTGGACAGAGATACTCGGAGATTCGCCGATGCGCTCCGATTCTCTCGATTCGGAAAGCTGGGTTGAAGGCGTATCCGACGGAGAATATTCTCTCGATTCGGAAGGCCGGGTTGAAGACGTATCCAATGGAGGATATGAAGCACGAGATTCATCCACGTGGGTGCCCGACGTGGTTCGCGGACTCAAAGTTAGGGGATGTTCGAAATCTAAAATTCGTAAGGACTTATCTTGAGCGATCGTGAACAAGTGTGTGGTAGATTCTTTACCCTTGATCTCTAACTCATCTATCGTAAGTGTCTGTGGGGGAGGGAATTCTTTGGCTTGAGTAACTGAGAGGGGATGTGATATCTCTTTGTCCCTGACATCTACTACGTTTGTTTTAACAACCTTTTGATCCTCGCCAGCATCAGTCTTCTCATCTTCTGTAGACATTGGTTCATTTACAACAGTCTCGCTGGGCTCCGTCGCTTCCGTCGGAACATCCTGCGACGCAGGTTGTCGCTCTTGAACTAAACTATTATCCGTGGTGGGAATGTCGGTTATCTTGTGGCTCGCGGATTCCTTTCCGCTCTCGCGATATCTCTCTTGTGCTTGGGTAGTCATCACGGTTTCCAAGTGACTCCTGATCGCTATCAGCTCTCTGATGATGGCCGGCGACAAGCTTTCCTCCATGGAATCGCCACCTCTCAATTCCGACGCTGTAATCATCATCGCATCCACCTCGGACGCCACGATCTTGTGTGCTTCTATCTGTGACACGCTCAGTCGATCAACTTTTAAATCTCCGACTTCGAGACTGCTGATTCTCAGTGGCTCATCGGACAGCAAACCTCTGACTTGAGGTCGCGATTGTGGTTCTTCTGTGACACGTTCCTCTAGATGAGGCGCTGATCTGTGCTTGTTTTTTGATTCCTCATAAAAGTCGATTTCTCTTGTGGGCGATGGTGACGTTAGTGACACAGTCTCATATGCCATCCGAATGTCTTCTGCTTTTGGAATCCGTTCTTCCTCTTCCTCTTCTTCTTCCTCTTCTTCTTCCTCTTTCTCTT